CAAGTTTCCCAAAACGAGTTGTGTGCCTAATTAGACTTAATACGAACGTATCGGAAGCCGATAATAATATAACCACTATCAGGCCGCAAAATTCTCTAGAACACATGCTATAATCAGGAACGTACATAAAAATATCTTATTGGGGGTTTATATTATAAACGATTTTTAAAAATCTATTTACCCCATACGTTTTAACGATTTTCATTGGAGAGTATAGGAAACCGACTTCGGAAAGACGTCCATAATGTTTGAATTCAATATATATGTATATCGTGTTCGTATGGAAAAGCAGCTTATGTCGAAAGGCTTTAGTATAAATCGGCATTCGCAGCACACGATTGCGAATGATTCGCTGGGGCTGAGCCGTTGCACAACTTTTGGCAAATAAACGTGCAAGAAATAGTTCCGATACTAGCAAGTCAACATTCTTATTAAGTCTCATCAAAAAATTCCTTGTCATTTAAAGAATAAAAGGAATGCCGCATTATACTAAAGCCAGCCTTTTGACTTTTCCATATGAACACAGATATGTATATACATATACGTATTTGGATAATTACACTGTGCAAAATAATTCCAAAAAGTTCAAATCGTATGAGTAACATCCTCATCTCGTCTGGGTAACTCATACGCCATGTAATACGTATGTACGTATTTACGTGGATCCACCATTTTGAATTTTTAAAATCGGATTGCAGATTTATAATCAGTAACCTTAAGAACCCCAATTGTAAAGTTTAAAGCGAATCCAATCGATTTTAATTTTTTTTTGTCCACCATATTGGGTCCGCCAATTTGAACTTTTCCAATGTTACTTCTGACTCGTAATCAGCGACTCCGATACCACCTGAATAACGAATTCTAAGTGAATCCGATAAATTTAGAAAAAATCGTCAACCATATTCGATCCGCCATTGAATACGTTCCCACGACAGTCGGGTCTACGTAACCGGAATGACCCAGATTTATACCTGGCCAAGGACTGTCACTCCAGCATCACTCCCCATAACCTTTTTGGGGAGTTTGTATGCTGTTACAACAACAACAACATCCGCCATTGAATATCAAAATTCTGATGCTATATTCATGATCAAACATTAAAATCCGTCTTGACTTAATAACTGACAACTGGTTTAAAAAACTGAATGACAAAGTTATTTCCGTATTTACGGATATGACGTCTTCTAACGGTCGCAGCATTTTTTGACTTTTTGATGGTTATTATAACTTTAATGCAATAAATTATTGCAATAGCATTCATTTAAACATTATAATGTTAATTAAAAAATTAAATCATTAATGCATTAATCTTTTTCATTTACATTAAAATGCTATGCATTAAAAAATTTAATGCATTTTTCACAACTCTGATATATACATACAGTAAGTATTATAGCGACTTTTGCTCGAGTAGCTAACATTTGATGCAATTTTTTTTTTGCACTGTATTGTTAGGTTAGGTTGTCGCGGTCGTCTATAAGACACACTTAGGCTCAGAGCCCATTGTGATGCCGCATGTGGGGTCAGCAACTCCCAATCCCCCAAAAACCAATTTGAACTTAGAACGAATTTTAGAAGATCCCTGATTTCGACGCATCTAAGGTCCTCTAAGTTGTCGAAGGATTGCCTACCGAGAGTGGAGAGTCTTCGTCTGGATAGAGCAGGGCACTGGCACAACAGGTGCAGAATCGTTTCCTCCTCCTCTTCATCTTGACAACTTCTACAAAAGTCGTGTAAACGTAGGCCAATTCGATAGGCGTGCTTGCCAATTAGGCAGTGTCCTGTTATGACAGATACTAGTAATCCAATATTGGGCTTATTTAGACTCAGTAGTAGGCCAGTGCGTTTGGAGCGGCGCTGAGTACCGGCCATAATTGTCTGCCAGTTCTGCAAGTGATTTCGTACTGCCACCTGTCGTTCGCTACTTTAGTAAGCCTCTCGGAGATAAGTAGCTTGCAAGTTTGCAAGGCTATTCGTATTTCGTCATTTATATCGTCAAAAGGAAGTTTCGTGCCGAGTCGCGCCAGTTCGTCGGCCTTACAGTTCCCCTCTATGCCGCAGTGACCCGGAACCCATATCATCTTTGGGCGAAATGACTCAGCCATCTCGTTAAGAGATGCGCGGCATTTCATGGCTACCATGGAGGTTGTCGACTGCTTCGTGAGGGACTTTATTGCCGCCTGGCTGTCAGTGAAGATGTAGATATCAACTTGGGGTATCATATCACACTTTACCAGTTTAGTGGCCCTGTCGATTGCCATCAGTTCAGCCTGAAAAA